GCTGAGGTATGTAAGGATGCCACCACCAATAGAAACACAAGCTGCCGGCTATGGGCGTTGCCGAGCGGCATTTGGTGCTCCACTTACAGGGAACACTGGTTGGTTAGGGGCTGGTTTCCCTGCTTTCCTTAGCAGTGTGTTGCAGCTTTGAAGAGATTGTTACAGTGATGTTTTGCTTTGCTCTTAGCCAGCGTGGACAGTGATAGGTATGTAAGGATGCCACCACCAATAGAAACACAAGCTGCCGGCTATGGGCGTTGCCGAGCGGCATTTGGTGCTCCACTTACAGGGAACACTGGTTGGTTAGGGGCTGGTTTCCCTGCTTTCCTTAGCAGTGTGTTGCAGCTTTGAAGAGATTGTTACAGTGATGTTTTGCTTTGCTCTTAGCCAGCGTGGACAGTGATGCTATCTGTCAATTTCACATGTTTTTAGACATGGCTTCAATCCTAAAGTGGCTCCTAAATTTTATTGGTTCATGTACCATCTTACAATTTTTTTTGTCAGAGGTAACAATTTGGGTACTCCTGCATATGACAGCATAATGTTTTGTTTACACGACACGGGAGTCTTTAAACAGAAATAGCTTTTTATTGGTATACAAAAAATTATAAAATTCTGGCATGTAATAGTAATGACATTTAAAAAAAATACCTACATCGTGGGCTTCACTTCCCCCTTTGAAAATAGTGTTTTTAAATTATCTACAAATTGGAAATTCAGAATTACAATTTTGAAGACTGTGTGATCTTGAAATATTTCCTCAACTTTGAAATGTACATATAACCGTTTAGGACACTTAAGTTGTACATTGTGCAACACTCAGATTAAGAATGAACTTTTGTGGCAAACTCACATACTTGGGAAACAACACAAAGAGGTAAGACTTTGAAGATACAGCAACATTTATGAGTTAATTCATAATCCTTCTGTTTGAGTAAGTTGTACAACTTATAGATTAGATAAAAGTTCAGAAATTTCCCATTTGAGTTCTTTTAGAACCCTTGGATGAATGCCATCCGGTCCCGGAGATTTGTTAACATTAAGTTTTTCTATTTGTTCCAAAACCTCCTCTAATGACACTTCAATCCAGGACAGTTCCTCAGATTCATCACTCACAAAGGACGGTGCAGATTTGGGAATCTCCCCCAACGTCCTCAGCCGTGAAGACTGAAGCAAAGAAATCATTTAGTTTCTCTGCAATGGCTTTATCGTCCTTGATCGCTCCTTTTATAGTTCGATCATCTAGGGGACCCACAGGTTTTTTAGCAGGCTTCCTGCTTCTAATGTACTTAAAAAACATTTTGTTGTTTCTTTTTGAGTTTTTGGCTAGCTTTTCCTCAAAATCTTTTTTTGCTTTTCTTATTACATTTTTACACTTTTTTGACAGTGTTTATGTTCCTTTCTATTTATCTCACTAGGATTGGACTTCCACTTCTTAAAAGATACCTTTTTGTCCCTCACTGCTTCTTTTACATGGTGATTAAGCCACGGTGACTCTTTTTTAGGTCTCTTGCTATGTTTTTTAATTTGGGGTATACATTTAAGTTGGGCTTTTATTATGGTGTCTTTAAAATGTTTCCATACAGCTTGCAGGGATTTGGCTACAGTCACTGTGCCTTTTAACCTCCTCATTTTTGTGTAATTCCCCTTTTTGAATTTAAATGCCAAGGTGCTGGACTGCTGAGGTGTTCTTCCCACCACAGAAATGTTGAATGTTATTATATTATGGTCAATATTCCCAAGCGGTCCTGTAACGGTTATTTCCTGGACCTGATCCTGCACTCCACTCAGGACTAAATCAAGAATTGCCTCTCCCCTTGTGGGTTCCTGCACCAGCTGCTCCAAGAAGCAGTCATTTAAGCCATTGAGCAATTTTATCTCCGCTTCTCTTCCTGAGGTGCCATGTATCAAGTCAATATGGGGGTAATTAAAATCCCCCATTATTACAGAGTTCTTTATTTTGGTAGCCTCTCTAATCTCCCTCAGCATTTCAATGTCAGTATCGCTATCCTGGTCAGGTGGTCGGTAATATATCCCTACTGCTAATTTCTTATTATTGGAGCATGGAATTGCTATCCATAGCGATTCTATTGAACACGTTGATTCACTTAATAATTGCAAAACCTCTGTTGTTGTAAACTTGATTAATCAATTTCAGTGATTCAGAGGTGTGCATGTTATGAATATTTGTTTTCTAACTTACTAAATTAAACGTTTCTAAATGTTCCAAACTTTAAATTCTGAAGCCTGATCTACAAGTATAACGAAGTAAAAAATATGAAATTACATCAGTTTGACTGCTTTGCTCAAGGGTTTGAAAAAATGCTGCTGCTGAACTATGTAATTAAATTGACCTGATTCCTGTTGTATACAGCGGTAGTTTGACCTCAACCTAGCTACCAACTTGGGAAGGTGGATTACCTACAGCTTTAGTTGTGCTACTGCAGAGCTTTAAGTGTGGACAAGTGTTAAGTCAGTAATTTTTAAGATCTTGAAAGGAGAGACTCTTGAATTTTATTTTCTGATTCAAATTTTTATTTAACAGAAATTTGCAGAGTTAAAAGGTGCTAAACAGACAGTCCCTGGGCCTGCAATTAGTGCATCATCTTATCCTGCCAAAAGAAAAGTTTCTGACACAGAAAATGAAGAAATAAAGAGAGCAAAAGGTAAAACAATAAGTTTACAGTTCAGCGTTACTGCAAATTCTGAATAATATGATTTTCAATGCTTTTCTTCATTATGAGACACACAGGATGAGTGAGATAATATCTCTTGGTGGACCATCATCTGTTGGCGGAAGCTACAAGCATTCAAAGCTACAGGGAATAAAAGATAATATATCATGTTCCTTGTGTGTCTCATATCCTCGGACTGACACAGCTACTGCAACACTTTCTCCTTTATGAAAGAGGGAGAAGGCATGTACTCTGACTTTTCTCTTGATGTTGATTTTTTTTTATTTATAGATATATGACATGAAAGTGTAAATGGTTTGTTTTTATGGCAACAAATGTGATTTGAAACTTGATATCAACGAAGCCATACTTCCACACTTCCAAAAATACTACTTGTAACACATTGTCCACTGTTCTGACAGAAGCAATCTTAACTTTCACTTTGTTATAACTAGCTAATGGCGTCACTGCCTGAGGGATGAATAAAGGCTAGATTCTGCAAATGGGTTTGCGTGAGTGTAGGAGTTGTCTATGCACCTACTCATTTCTGTGCACTTGTAATATCATATTGACCTAGGTTGTCAATATGATATCATGGTTAGAACCCTACCAGGTTCATGACCATGAAAAATGCATCACAGACTGTGAGATCAGCTTTACCCTATGAGATCTTCCCCTGGCTATTATGGGGTGGGGCAGGACTGGGAATATGTCAGCTATGGGCTTCTACTGTGCACCAGGCTAGTGCCAGTCCCAGCAGGGCTGGAGAGGAATGGGACTTCCTCGTCCCTTGCATGAACGCGCTCTGGGAGGGTATGTCTACACTTGCACTCTAGTTAGCTTTCCTGTCTGTACATCTTTGGCGACGTCAGATATAAAAATCAAACAATGAGGAAAAGAACTATGTACTGCACATCAGTGGACTCGTGATAAATAATTGCAAAAGCTCACAAATTACGCAAATTAATAAAGCAAAAACATTTGGAAGGCAGTCTTATCATGGATTATCTGCATTTAGTAAGCAACCGGAGTTTTGCAGGTTCCTTGAATGAATTCACGCAGCTTGGGTGATAGTTTTCCAACTGTATATCAGCCTTTTTTAATTGAAACAATAACTAAATATTGTTATATGTTTAATACCACTAATAATTCCAACTGGAAAGAGAGGCAGCTCCCTGCAAAATGGCCTCTTGTTCCCAACAGCTGCAGAGTGATGAGGGCAAGAAATGAGCGGGGGGAAAGGAGGCAGGACTATCTGCAGCCAGGGAAGGTGCCTGACAGCAAGAGTGCAAGGGATGAGGAAGTCCCACTCCTCTCCAACCCAGCTGAGACAATAAGTCTGGAGTCCCTAGGAGCACAGGGAAGATCAGACCTATCTCTGGAAACCTCCCTCACAGCAGGAAACTTGATGCCTGCTGCCTTCAGAATCTAGCCTAGCTCTGAAGACAGCAACCATGGTGCTTCTTGCAGCCAGGTGAGTTTCTGGAGGTGGGCCTGATCTCTCCGGGTATGCCTACACTTGTGCAAATGCAGGCATTCGAAATTGCTAATGAAGAGGGGATTTAAATATCCCGTGCTTCATTAGCATGATCTTGCCAGCGCACTAGTTCAGTCATGCTAATGAAGCACGGGATATTTAAATTTATTGGGACATGATGGCTACCATCCTATTGTTGGAGTATACAGCTTATAAAAATGAAGTTTGTGATAAAGTGATTATTTTATAAACTTCTAATGGGTTCTACAATAGAGCACCTTTAAAGTCTTGCTAACAGGTTAACCATGAAATTTGCCTATGAACCTTCAATTGAGAGTGACAAAACCTTTAACAAAAACTAAGATTACAGATCACTCTTTAGTGCCTGTCCCTTCCCCCTCAAAAAAAAAAAAAAGTACAGATTCAGCAGTATTTCATTTCAGCAGCATAGTTGTTTGAAACAGTGTGGTGACTGGATGAACTAGCTACATTGCAACAGTTTAGAATTCAGGACACCAACGACCAGCAGTGTAAGCTCATCATGATTATACTTTTTTTTTCATTTTTTTGTTCAGTAGCAAAGCAGTCATAAATGATTCTTGATTATTTTTCAGGTTCAAATGACCAGCCACAGGCTTCTGCATCAGGGTAAGTAGATACTTTCATTTACTTATTTGTGCAGCTCTTTGCCAGCTACAATCCTTTTTTTTGTCATTCACTTCACTTGATCTCTGCACCTGCTGTGAGTAATGATGTAGACATCATGAGCTCCTTCCTCATGTGCTATTTGACATAGACACAGACCCATAGTTTATCAGCAACTTATTCAGCTGTGTGAGCAAGATAAAAATCATAGGAATGAGTCAGAACCAGTTAGAAAAATGAATTTTACCTTGCTTTCATTATACGGGTATACTTAGTGATGTACAGTATTTTCCTAGAGTTCAAAGTACAAATCTTTATCTTTGTTTTTGTACACGCTTAATTGCTCTGATTTATTTCATAGAGATCATTTGTAATTATGTTGTTTTCTAACATGGCTGTGGAGGGTGTGGAGAGAAATATTTGAGGCTGTGGAAATCTATGTGACACCAGATGACCTCCCTACTGAAAATGTACAGGTTGAACCTCTTAAATCTGGGACTGTCTGGTCTGGCAGGATCACAGATGTTGCTGGAGCAGAGAGCCCCATCAATTGGGAATGTAAGCCAGTCAGGGAGTCCAGCAGAAGGGATCCCCACCATCAGACCAGTGAGCCCTGTCCCTGGATAGACCTGGCCAGGCAGTTCAGCAGCAGGACAAGCGACCCCTGTCCCTGCAGAGCCCCGTTCTGGTGCAGCAGCAGTGGGGCAGCCACAGAGCCCTTGTGCGGTAGCGGGGCTGCCAGCAGCTGGGGAACCTTGTCCCCCAGAAATGCTGGCGAGTGCAGCAGCATAGGGGCAGCCGCGGAGCCTATTCCCTGGGAAGCTGCAGGTGGGACAGAAGCAGGGCAGCTGTGGAGCCCTGTCCCCGAGAAGCTTCGGCTGGGCAGAGTAAAAGTAGGGTCATGGCGACTGGGGAGCTCTGTCCAGCAATGCGCGGAGCGCAACCCCAATAGCAGCAAGGCTGGAGTCCAGTGGCAGTGGGGCTGGAGTGGAGCCATCCAGAGAGAAGGGCAGTATCCTGGGAGGCCGGTGTCAGGGGACCTTCTCTGATCTGGCAAATTCCCTCATTTGGAATGGGGCAGGTCCCCAGTGCCAGACCAGGGAGGTCCAATTTGTACTTGAAAGCTGCCTGCGTTGTTCCCTGCTCCTATTGTGGCATACAGGAATTACTTTGGTGTGGGACATCTTTTTTTTTAAAGCCCCTTTTGTTCTGCATATTCTGATACAGAATTAGTACCATAAATGTAGGTAGCACTGACCTGATGAATTAAAAAGAAAACCACAATTACATTGGGGATTTTAGATGGGGATTATTTTATATTACACCAGCGAGCAACACCATTCATTATTTAATTCCATTATCTGTAGGAGATGGTTAGGGTTCACAAAATAATTGTATTTCAAACACTGCTGCAAATGGTTTTGTTAATGTACCAATATTTATATCTTGCATCCTTTCCTAGGCTACCCACAGGTTTTTTTGACACAGCAGAGTCAAAGGGTCCAGGTCCCAGTTTACTGTCAGAAGGTGGTGGTGATGATGATGATGATGTGGATGACGAGGAAGAAAAAGACAGTACTAGCAAACTGTCTGGTGTACAAAAAACTGAAATTCCACACCCAGCTCAAGAAACAGTCGCTAATGCTTTACCAGCAGGTAACTTTAGATTGCAAATTATAAAATTCTGTGAGAAGAAATTGTTGGCTATTGTAAATTATGCTGGTAGGTGTCTTATAATTATTAGAAATATGAAATAGTAGTGATGGGTTTGTTCTGTTTGGGATTTTCTTAATTTTCATATGCACTTTATTTATGCATGTGTGATTTTTTTGGTCAGGTGACTGCTAAAGTTGTGAAAATGTTTCTTTCCAATTTGTCATTATACAATAGTATCCTAGCATCCCAGATTTGTAGAATATGTAAAATATGTAATAATGTATATACCATTGTTAATTATTTGAGGCATCCAGAGAAGTATTGACCAGCTAGCTTTGTTTCCTGATTAACAGAAATGGTACTAATTTAAATTCCTTTTTAGTCAAAACTTTGTGTAGAATTTTGAGCAATAGTAGTCTTTGTGCATATGACCGAGTATCTTTCTTTTTTGTAGATTTCTTTGACAACAAAACAACAGCTGCTCCCATAGTCTCCCATTCAGGATCCATTCAGAAAGCAGAAGTTCAAGAAAAGGTAGTGGAAAGGTAAATTGGTCAGAACATATGTTAAAAGGAAATGCAAAACATGTTTCAGTCTTCTAGTTAATATACATAGTTTGATCATAGCTAGATCTGTCACCTTGAATAATTAACAGGAAAACACATTTATTGGTTATACAGGTTAAACTTCTCTAACCTGGTGCTCTTTGGTCTGGCAACATCCATGATCCAGTATGATTTTAGTTAGCCAGATGTCCACTTACTGTGGGTGTGGCCAAGTTTCCTGCGGCCATAAAGTTTGTTTACAGCCACCAGTCCTGGCTCTCAGTGTTCTGTGCTGTTGTTTAGCTCTAATTTACCCCCAAATGTCTTCTAAGAGCCCAGTAAACAATGGAAGTGTCGGTAATGCTGCTAGACAATATTCACCTCATGTGATTTGGCAAATTTTCTGGTTTGGCAATAGTCACGTCTCAACAGTGTCGGACTAAAGTGGTTCATCTATATGAAGATTCATTTTACTTACATCAGGCTGTCGTCTTTTAAGGATTTTCAAAATTTCATGATTAAAAAAAATAAGAACCTAAAATGATGGGAATGCAATAGAATGCTCACCACTTTTCAAAACATTGAGGAGCCTTACTCTCAGCTCTGGGTTCCAGAGTATTAGCCTAGGCCTATTATCTATACAGCTGCTTGTGTGTTTGATAAGATATAACTGTAAAAACAGTTTTTGTTGAGCTTAATATCCAGCTAGTGCTAGATGTGGAGAAGAAATACATTATTTTTATATTTCTAAAATATATTGGTTTCTGCTCTTGACATTTTATTTCTGCAATTAAAATTCAAACAATAAGTACTAGATCGAGAACTCATTTCAGAAAAGAAAACACTGCAGAAGCTTTACCAGAGGGATTCTTTGATGATCCCGAAGTGGATGCAAGGGTAAGTGTTCTTTTTGTTTGTTTGCTTTTTCTTCAGATTTAGTAATACAGTAAAACTCCAATTGTCCGGCATCCAGTGGTCCAGCGCTCCCAACTGGCACCAACTGGAACCCGGAAGTGCTCTGGCCAGCCGGACAATTGGAGCTGCTGAGAGCCCCAGGGGCGCTGGAGCTGGGAAGGGGAGAAGAAGGGAAGGGGATTATACCCCTGTGATGGGTCTGCCAGGACCCGCACTGCAACCAGCTAGGGGGAAGGGAGTGGGCGGGGAGCGGTGCGAACAGGGCGAACCCTCTGCCGTTTTGCAGGAAGGTGGGGGAAGCCCCATGCCACGGCTGAGAGTTTCCAGGAGGGGAACGGGCTTCCCAACCACCAGATTGCAGTAGTTATCGCCGAGCGGGGGGGGTGAGGGGCGATGCTGCGGGACCAACCCGGCAGCACCCCAGCTGCTCTGCTCTGCTCCGCTTCCCCAAGTCCACCACTGCTGAAACTGACGAGCGGCAGACTTGGGGAAGCTGTAGAGCAGAGCAGCTGGGGTGCTTCCTGGTTGGTTTAAAGAAAGTTTTAATGAGGCTAGAATGCATTGTTCTGCTGGAGGGCTTTTACTATGGCCCAGCAAAACAGGGTGACGGAGCACCCAGAGGGTAGGCAGCAGGCTCAGTGGTATGATCAGCACATCAGGTGACAGTCTCAAGTCGATCTCTGAACCAGCCTGTGACAGTGGTGTCTAGTGCTGTGATCGGAGTGATGCGCAAGGTGGAATGGGGGGAGGTGTGGCAAACCAGGGATAGGCTTCAGACAGGTAGGTCCATCAGAGCACAGGTAATACTAATTAGTGGTCTCTGGTTTTTAACCCAGTTTATAAACAAAATTCACAAGGATTTATGCATTGCAAGGAACAGTTGCTTTACTTGTCTGCTGTCAGTGGCACAAACCTCTAGCTAGTCAACTCCTTCCAGATTAACTCCTGTTGAGAGGTGTAACACCAGCACATTGGAGATGCTGTAATCTCAGACACAGGTACAGTGATTCTAGAGGGGAATCGTATACAAACTGTTCAGAGATGCGGCTGGTTTTTGCAATTTTTCTGTGGATTTGTATGTTTAAAAAAATGCTGTTCTTTGAAATCTAGTATTTATATCTGGGGTTACTGAAGCATTTAATCTGGTCAGATATATACTTCAAGGCAAAATAATTGTTTTGTTAGTGTTTAAGTTTATTATAAGAAATACAAATAGTCAAGAATTACAAAAGGCAAAACCACAATACTTAACAACATAATACATGTAACCATGATACGAATAATCACAAAAACAGAAATATGGAATGATGGAAGCATCTTGTTTGGTTTTGAAATTTTATAATATGACTTATTTTATACTGTTGCAAATTGTATAATCAATCAAGAATAAAGCATGTAAATGACTGACCATTTTACATTCCAAGGATTGCCATACTGCCAAAATCAAGAACAGATAAAAAGGAAAATACTGCTAAAGTAGAAAGGTGACTCCACCAATTATTTTATTCAAACTGTTTAGTTCCTCTAACTCCATTACTCATTCAAAAGTAGCATAAAGGCTGGTGACACAGATGTTGTTAGTCATCATGCGTACATAATTCATGTCACAGCCTCTGGTGAGAGAACTATTTGTGAATCTTGGTATTTTGTTAGTTTTTGATGTTCATTTGCCAGGATGATGTGTTACAAGCGAAAGCTATGACTGTGATCACTTACATTCCTCTTGCCCACAGTGCAGATCCCAAGTCTTGTGTAGGAAGATTTGAACTCCAGGCCAATCTCCAGACTGGCACCCACACACCTTTTCTCCTGAATGCAGGCAGATCCTCTTTCTTCATTCGGCTTCAGTTCCAGTATTATTTTGCAGAAAATATTCCCATCATTTCTAGAGTTAGTAATTAATATTCAGCATCATTGGAAAGATAAGTTTACAGATATTAAAGTGGTAGACAGCTCTAACAGTTCTTTTGCTAGCCACTAAATATAAATATAGGGAAAACGATCAAGAGGATAATCAATTGTGATTTTTACAAGCAGATATCTCAAAAAAATCACTAGGGCTGGGTTAAACTGCTGTATACTATCAGATGTTTCACAAAATATACCATGCAATGATAGCTGGATGCTGAAAATAGACAAAAATACAGGTATTGTATTTTGGAGACAAGCCAGATTGCTTTCAGCATCCCGAACATCCTCTGCCATCCATTCAGGGTCAGCTGCTGTCCCTCAATATTGTAATCATGTATTTTGTATAGACACTTGTTTGACAGCAAGGTATAGAATCTGATTTTCTTTCCAAAGTCATGAAATATGACTGTTTATATGCATTATTTGAACCAAAAAATTTACTTGCTGCCAAAACTTTCTAAGTAAATAGCAGAATATGTGTTTTGTTTCTCCTATTGGTTTTAGAAAACCAACAGGAATCATTAGGCAATTGCTTAAGAAGCCCGTTTTTTCCTCACTCATTAGGTACGAAAGGTTGATGCTCCCAAGGATCAGATGGACAAAGAGTGGGATGAATTTCAGAAGGCAATGCGACAAGTCAACACGGTAAATGATAGAATCTATCTTTATTGCTTCTAGATACAATACATAATTGGAAAAACAACCATTTCATGCAGCTTGGCAAAGTGAGTGACATACTATTTTTGTTGACTGCTTTTCACAATTCAGTGTGCAGTTAAATATACTTGCAGCTGAGTAAAAGATCCCTGCATTTTGCACTCAAGGAAAAGTTAAGTGAAAAGAGATTTTGATAACAAATATAGCTAATTAAATTCCTTAGGTTGGATTTAAGTGAGAGAGCAGGCACATCTTCTCAGTTACTCCTATGCAGGCAATTGACCATGTTCCTATCTTCTGCTTGAAAAAAATCGCCTTTAGAAAATTTAATCTTAAACTATGAAATTTACCTCTCTAAGTATTTTACACTCTTGGAAGCTTTTGCAGGGTGGTACATTTTGTGGTGAATTTAAACTTGACAAAAATATCCTTAAAGATTTGAAATATTATATAGGAATTTACACAGAACACATACCGAAAAACTGTGGCCCATCAGGATTCTCATTTTTTGTACTTAAGGTTCCATGCAACATTGTATCAGAATTAGGCTTATACCTCCCTGATATACAGTTTATGGGACATTGTGATTGATACCTGGTATTCTCACTTGCTGCCTTTTAAGGATTTTAAACTCTTGAATTGAAAATAATTGATCATATATAACTGCTAAGAAAACTGGTGCAGAACAATTTATCACTACTCAGTAAAGCAGAACTATAGATAAAGTGACCTTTTATACAAAAGCCGATAGTGGATACATTTTAACAACATTAACCATTCAAACAATTCTTCAGCATAGTAAGGAATCTTCTCAGTTATGCGTGGACCATTGGTTGCATAGCCTCTCCCAGACATTCAGATTTGAGAAAGTATATGCTGAAAAAAACAACAGGTTAGAAATGCATTGGAATCAAGTGGGTATAGTTAATACTTCTAGAAACAAGCTTTTACTGTACCTAATTGGTAAACATAAAATTTTGGAGTCTTCTGTTCTGTGGTATATTACGTTTTTTGATGGATGTATTTGGTTTTATATTCTATTTCAAAACAATAATTGAAATAAAAAATTAAGAAGGAGAAAGGTTCTAGACTATTTATGTATTTAGTTTAGCATTTTGTTCTGCCCTTTCCATTGAACTTCAATCCAAGTCGCAAAGACTTCCTATATGTGCTATTAACACATTGTAGATAGGAATGTCTGTGTAAGATTGTGACTTTTGTTTTTAATCTCTTGCTTTTAGTTTCCAATACTGCTCTTTTTCTTGAAAAAAAATTAATGGGACTAAACTTATTCTCGTTTTAGATTTCAGAAGCGATAGTTGCAGAAGAGGATGAGGAGGGAAGATTAGATCGTCAGATTGGAGAAATTGATGAGCAGATGTGAGTAGAGCTGTCTTTTCTCAAACTTTTCTGTTCCCCCGAGGGCGGGTATATTGTTGAATGGACTATGAATTAAGTTTAATTTGTAACCTGACATGTCAGTGCTTTTAAATATTCACTTATCAATGTGTTTGGCTTCAAAAATCAGTTTGTTTCCTGACAGTTATACCTTTTAATAAAGATTAATTTGGATAGCAGCATTGTATAGGTGTTTATTAAAACAGATTACAGTGGGAGTTTGAAAATGGTATGTATGGGCACAGAAGGCCAGTAAACTAGAGGAAGAGATTAAATTTCATAAAATCTTATGAACAAGGTTAATTTTTTTTCTACACTCAATCTGTGGATTGTGTATCATGTAGAAGTCCTGTGATTATATTTTATAACTAAGCTCTTAAACAACTTTTTGTAGACTGAACTAAATTTATTTTCATATGGAGAGTCATGCCTTTAATTTTTCACTTGCTGTGCTGAATGTATACTACTCTGTGACTAACTGGCCCCTTGCTTCTCATGACAATTATTTGAAAATATTTGTGGAATAATATACCTCATTGTGTGGACCTTTACTAGCTGCCAATGTTACATTAAAACAGTTGGACATACATTAGTCTAAGCTTCAGCAAGCTCAATTAATACAACTGAGTTTGGCATGTTACGGTGCTGTAAACCAGTCCCTTTGTGTAACATGTACCATAAAAGACACATTATTCATGGCAAAGCTACTGATTGAAAGCAAAGGGAAAATCTAGTTCATTTTTTTAATGTGGAAGACTGACAGATAGCCATGTTTTAAGTGAAAAGGAGATTTCCATACTGAAGTTGTCTCAGAGATTTACCAGCTATTTCAATAATAATAATGATAATCTCAGTCACATTGCTTTTAGGAGTAAAGATGTGTGTGTTTAACAGTGATCATGTGATTCTGAAGAGCATTGACTAAGAGCCTGAAGGTGTTTACACAGTAGGGATGTAAGCGACTAGTTGATTAGTTGACTATCCGATAAGCTTATGCTTATCAGGTAGTCAACTAGTGATGCGATTAGTCGCTTCCCTGTAGCAAGGGGGGGAGCAGGAGCCAGTGCTGTGGGGAGCCAGCTTAAAAGCCAGTTTCCCCAGCACCGTCTCTGAGGGGGGCAGGAGAAGAAGAAGTGCAGTGGGAAACAGCCTGAGGACTGAAACAGTCTCCGCTCGTGCCACTTCTGCTGTGATTCTGCTTTTTCATCAACTATTTCCATCGGCTATTTGATTAGTTAGTTAATCTAAATTTAACATCCCTATTACACAGTCCCTTTTATTATTACTGTTTAAAATCTCATGGTTATTTGGAATCAAATTCAGGTATTTTTAAGTTGTTGCAAAGGTTGTAACTGATGATTTATTTTGTCTGCAGTAGAAGTTAATGTAGCCATACTTTTAGTTTCATGCTATATTAAGAACAGTGTATTTGAATGTAGGAAATGTTTTAATAGCCACTGAAGTGTTTTGGAAGGTATTATATTTTCTACAGAAATGCTTCAAATGTAGTAGATCCTCAATGTTGGGTGGGAGTGCCTCTTCTGCAGCACCTTAAATGATTTATGTTCAATTCCAAAAACCTGTCTTTGAGTGTGTGTTCCAGTGGGCTTTCAAAATTGGTAATATAACTGTGTGTTAGAAATGGCCATTGTGTTTCTCTCCTCCATATCAAGTCAAAATGGCCTGGTAAACCTGTGGAGTATAAGATCAACTGCTCTTTAAAACTGATTGTATTTTAGACCATATCAAGTGTTATAAGTGCAGGTACGCTCTGACAGAAACTCTCCAAACATGCCATGCCATGATGGTATTCCATGGTTGACTCTGTGATTATGATCCAGCTTAAGCTCTTTCCTCTGTATTGAATCTGTAGGCTGATAGGAGTGACAAGAAGTAAAAAAGAATTTAAAGCAAGTAAAGAGATATAATTTGGTACTTGCAAGGAATAGATCTATCCACTAGTAAGAGTTATCATTTTTACATAGTTATTTTTCAGAGTAGAAATACTGTTACAAATGCAGAACCTTGGCAGCCAAATACAAGTTCAGAGGTTAATTGTAGCATGCATTCTTTAAGATGGTGGATTCAAGTATGAGGGCTACAATGTCTTGTCAGGCTTCCATTTAAATGTACTATTTCTGTGTGTCTCAGCTGATAATAAATATCCCTGTGCTCCCCCTTCCACCTTTGATGAAATAACTTCTTAGACAAAAATGTGAAAAAAAACAAAACGGATTTGAGCTTTTTCCTTTTCTATAGTACTTTAAAAATGGCTTCATATCTTTGATATTTTTTAATCAAATTGTCACAGGATTGTGATTTGATCTGTTTCTGACATCTTTGTAAGAGAAGCAATGACCGAGACTCTTCCCCTTCCTCCCCCCTTCATTTTGCTTCCACGGGGCAATAGCAAAACATTAAATAGTATTTAACATCTGTTGTGAAAGGCTTATTTGAATTGTAATGTTTCTGCATTTTTAAGGTTTTATAGACAAAAGGAGAAGCACTCCCTGTATTGTGTGAAAATCAGTTTTTGAATTTTTCAAGGCCATAAATGTTAACTAAATGTTTTTTATCTTTCTACAGTGAATGTTACCGCCGTGTTGAGCTGCTGCGTAACCGCCAGGATGTAATGAAAGATAAATTTAAGGAAGCTATGAGATTAAGAGCAACCCAGGAAAAAAAGGATGAGGATATTGGTAGTGAAGATGAAGGAGAATTGCAGGATTTGCTCTCTCAAGATTGGAGAGTGAAAGGGGCTTTGTTATAGCATTTCAGTGGCATGCTCAATCTTCTATTGATCTGTGGTATTACTACATCAGAAATAAGACATTTTTGTTAAAATATTTATTTATAAGAAGGATCTTGCAGATAGTAACAAGGTTAACTGTAAAAAGTGTATCTCTGTAGGTCTAAAATGGAGTATTTTGTGTAAAGGTTGTACATTGTAAATGTTTTACAAGCTTTCATATAACTTTTGTATTGAAATTCTTATTATAATTTCCTACTAAAATTGTTTTAATGAGCAAGTAATTTTATAGTTGATTGACTGCCAGGAGTGTAACACATACCAACCAAGTCAGTGCTTTGGGCTGTCTTGTGTTCTAGTTAGTACCAGCCAACATGACGGTGTCTATTGTGTCCTTTCCAGTAGGAAACTCTGTTTTCTCCAGGATGTTTTAGAAGTTAGACGTAAATACAATATGTCAGTTGTCCAATGCAGGACCTGTTAGTTGCACTCTTTTGTATGTAAATGACCTAACACACCAGAAATATGGAGCAACAGACTGTGGGAAAGTTGTAATACTCTGATCTCCTGCCATGCTACAGTGGATATGCATGTTGCAGAAGATTATGCTGGACTCAGTCTGTTTTGATTAATATAGTCACAAACTGGAAGCTGCCTGAAAATTCTTGAGCAGAGTGATATAAGAATAGTAACTTTATATTTTTTTTATAGTGAAATGGGTATGAAACTTTAGGCACTGCATTGGAAGCCCTGTTAGGTTTATTTTAAAGTTGTTCTTCCAACACTAATTTATTTTAGTTGTAAATATTGGACGCTTTCAAAGGAGCCTAGGAATACTATTTACTTTCTTACATTTGCAAATGGTAAATAATATTTTAAAACTTAAGAACCAGTGAACAGGATAAAATTGAGCTTTACAAACCCTTAAAGCCCTCAAATTTCAGAAGCTCCTGCTAACTCAGTAAAATCTGAATGGATTTTTCAGTTTAATCCCAAAAAGTAGAATTGTGGGTAAGTATGGATATCAAGTAATTGAATAGTCATGTAACCACATGAAACCTTAGCGAACCTGAGCCGCCGCAGACAGGCAGCAGTGTGAGGGGGGGCAGGTGGCACTGCTGAGCTGGTGCTGGGGGGGAGCTGTCTTGAAAGATGGCTCCCCACATGTATTGGCTCCAGCCTGCCCCCAATCAGAGGTAGCAGCATGGGGAGGAGTAGGTAGATAACCTGGTGCTTATGGAGAGTTTGCTTAAAGCCAGCTTCTCATGGGCACTGGCTCCTGCTTGCCACCCCCCACCCCCTTCTGGAATACGCAGAATGTGTGTAGTCGACAAGAGTAACCAGTAAGTCCAGGCTTATCGGTTAATCATGTAGTCGACTACATGTTGACATCCCTAGTGGAAAAACAGCTTATTTTTTTTACCTTGGGTTTTGTAAAAAGTTAGTGTTTGGGATTGGTTTGGAGGGGATGAAAAAAGGGTATGGTGGGAACAATGTTGCCACACATTTAATTCAGAATGTGTGTAGTCGACAAGAGTAACCAGTAAGTCCAGGCTTATCGGTTAATCATGTAGTCGACTACATGTTGACATCCCTAGTGGAAAAACAGCTTATTTTTTTTACCTTGGGTTTTGTAAAAAGTTAGTGTTTGGGATTGGTTTGGAGGGGATGAAAAAAGGGTATGGTGGGAACAATGTTGCCACACATTTAATTCAGACTAGTCTGGACACTGCTTATATCCACTAATCCCTATAGTGTTAAGGGGAAAAATGCTATTGCTCACTATAAGCCGGTATCATGTATAACTTTTATTATGAACCACCTGTATGTTTGAACAGTTCCCAGATGCTCTCTGCCCTCCTTTGCTTCTCCTACTTTACATGTTCCCAATATTCTAGCTTATGTTGTGATAATAAAGATGTGAAAAGTAAAATTAATACAGTGCTTAACAGTGTATTCTGACCACATACACTGGTCTGCATTCTGGATATTTTTGAAAACTTCAGAGGGGTAGCCAAGTTAGTCTGTAACAGGAAAAAACTTAAAAAACAACAAATAGTCTACTAGCACTTTAAAGACTAACAAAACATGTAGGTTTTATCAAGAGCTTTTGTGGGCGCAACCCACTACTTCAGTTTTCTAATATGTACAAAAAACAAACACAACCAATATGTTTAAAAATTTCATGTATAACTGTGCAACTAATGATCTCTGTCATATATACTAACGTTGGTAACCTTCAGAAATTTGGCAAAAGCAGTTTCCTAGCATCACTGACTTACTTTTTGAAAGTTTCTGATTTATCAGAACAAATATGGCACACTGATACACATCCATGTTTAGTCTTTGCTCAATTAAATAAAAACTTGCCAATCTGTTCAATGAGTGAAATAGTGAAAGAAGCTCCCCTCATGTTTAGGAAAGAAAGTTCTTGTTCAAAAAAAGATGGTGTGGGAATACTTGTTTACTGACAATTGGTCTTGATGTTTTCTATAAAATTCAGGTTACTTCATTTTCCATAAATTTGAGCAAAATGTCAAATGTAGTTTCTTACCCTTTTCTCCCAGCCACCCCACTAGTCCACCAATGAGTCTTACCGAGCTTTTAATTCTGATATTAGAGTGTGTGTGTGTATATATATTTATTTATTTATTTATTTATTTTATTGAACTAACTTCTGTTCAGTAAGAGACAAGCTATTGAGCTCTTTTTCAGGTCTGAGAAAGTAAATTAGCATGTTACTGCTGCATTCAAGGTGGAACAAATTGCTTATCTTAAGTAAACTATTAACCTTTCAATAATCTTTTAAAATGTATGTTAACATGCTAAGGCATCATCTACACAACAGATTTAGGGCAATATAAGGTAGCTTATGTCAACCTAACTCTAAGCATTTACTATGCTAAAACATAGCTCCCACTGATGTAACCTGCCCATATCACCAACTTAATTTCACCTCTGTGAGTGGCACAGAACTTAGGTTGATGTCGTTAGATTGATGCAACATCAGTGTTGACATTGTATTGTTTGCATTGACTGTTGCCTTTGAGAAACTGTGCCAGTGTCCCCCATACTGACAGTTAAATTGATGCAAGGGCTTCTACTGAGTGCACACATTTCCAACACAAGAAGCGTATTGTGGGCATGCAAAAGCAATTTAATTTCTGTGGTGGCTGTATGTTGATGTAACTTAGGATGACTTAATTTCTCAGTGTAGACTTGCCTGACTTTTCCACTAACACAAATTGGTCCAATAAAAGATACAACCTCATCTCTCATATCCTGTGACCAACATGGCTCCAACAACATTGCATATTTTAGTAGTACTTAGCAGAAGAAGGTGGAAGCCAGCACACTAGTTCCTGGTTGTCTTAGATTTAGACAAACAGAAACTTTTGTATGTCCTTTAGTTCCATCCATGGTACCTAGTATGTTTCCAGGAACTGATCTGGGATTTGATTAAGATGAATGAAAAGACTGACCTTTAATGTTTTGATCCGAGAGAGGGGAAGAGACATGGCTGATTCTAAAGACAGATTACACAGGCCAATGTGGATGTACACTTCACTTTTATAACTGAAGTTATTTGGCATGTAATTTTAAGGGCTTCCATTATTGTCATTTTGAGCACATGCTTGCAAAGAATATCTTTTTATTTTACATATGAGAAATAGGAAGTGGAATGAACATTAAAAACAATACCACTGGCAAAGACTTTCATCTTCATTATTTATGAATCAGTATTTGTCTTTAGAATACTACTACATCTTAATGTAATCTTTTCAATTTTTCTTTTAGAGTAGATCTACTTTCCCATCCTAGTTTGCGGTCAGAACTATAACAGGCGTGTGCACCCAGATCAAAGATATAACTAAACAAATTGTCATCTTTTAGGTATGACTGCTTAGCAGACTCCAATGAATCAAAGGAATGTTCTAAGTAATTCCTTTTTGTTTCTTAATGTTGTTTAAATTCCATCTTCCTTAAATAATACATAATGAACTAATCAATGGCATGCATGTTGTTGACACTGAAGTTACTGTTGTATTTGACATAATTGATTCTTACTGATGTTTATCCATTCTGGAATGAAAATTGGCCAGTACCTTTTTCTTGAAAAGACAGTCAGTTAGGAGATCCATTAGTCATAGAAACAATTGTATTATAAGACAATATTCTCAAGCAAAAAGTAAGTTGTAGAGGACTCAAGAGCTTACCAAGCTTCTAGAAGAGAGGTCTGCAGTGGTGATGTAAACAGTGACATGACTGGCTCTGTCCTGTATAACTGACTTTATCTGTTAGGCTACGTCTACACTACATGTAGACTACAGAAGCCTTTTGCGCAAGAGTTTTTCTGCAAAAATTTCTTGCAGAAGAGCACATCCACACCTCAAAGCACATTGCAAAAGCGATGTGCTTTTGTACAAGTGTCCACACTGCATGGATGCTCTTGCACAAGGACACGCTGATGGCCATTCACATAATGGCCATCAGAGCACCTGTGCTTTTTCCCCATAGGGGTTTCTTGCGCAAGAACCCCCTCTGGAGTGTCCACTTGCCTTTTTGCACAAGAACTCTTGTGCAAAAGGGAGTTATGCCTCGTAAAAGGTGGTTTACCTATGGCGGAAAAAGCCTTCTGTTCTGCCGTTTTACTCGTGATTGCCTTGCGCAAAAGCGCATTTGAGGTGTGCATGCTCCATGAGTTTTTTGTGCAAAAACAGCTGGTTTTGCGCAAAAACATTGCAGTGTAAATACAGCCAGTGTGCCAGCAAGGCAGGAATCAAACCTACTTTTTTAGCAGATCCTAGTATCAGAAGTGGCCTTGAGGGCTGTTAAGAGAAGCTAACTCTCTCAACTACCCATGCTATAGAGCTGGTGCAGTAATGAAGTGACCTAATGTATCAGGGAAGATAACAGGCACCATTTGCGAGTTTGCTTTGCCAGCAGTTGTAGTGAGGCACAATTTTATGATTAGCCTGTTTGCTGCTGCACTGTAAGAAGTATGTTTCCAGGTCATGATTATTGAAAGGAAAGAGGTGTAGGGGGTTTGAGCCTGTTGCTTACCAAACACAACTTCTGGTTTTTGAAAACTCAGCTTATTTAGAACTTGAGACGGAGCTCTAGAGCCTAACCCTGTCTACCCAAAACTATAGCTGAGCTATGTCTACACTGCAGGCTTCTTGCGCGAAAACTTGTGGAGCGTCCACACTACAAACCCGTTCCTGCGCATGAAAGTTTACAGTAGATCGTCAGAAGAGAGGGCTTTTTGCACAAGAGTTATTCCTTTCCCCACAAGGATTAAGCCTTTTTGTACAAGAGCTCTTGCACAAAAAAGGCTAGCGTGGATGGGAACAGGCGTTTCTTCCGCAAGAAACCTCTATGGCTAAACTGGCCATCAGAGCTTTCTTGCACAAGAGAGCATCCACACTGCCATGGACGCTCTTGTGCAAAAGCACATGGCAGTGTGGACGTGCTTTTGCACAAGACCTTTTACGCAAAAACTCTTGCACAAAAAGTTCTTGCGCAAGATGCCTGTAGTGTAGACATAGCCCAGATGTTTGCATTAGTATTTATATTATGGTAATGCCTCCAGGTTCAGTAAAGGATTTGGGGCCCATTGTTCTTGGCACTCTTTGTGTGCATGCATGAATATACATAAAGTCCCTACTCCAAAAGCTACAATATATTGCACTAACAAAGGCTTATTTACTAGAGTAATACATGTCATTTTCAGTCATATGTAACTAGGGGGAAGTGGGAAAGATAAAATAAGGTCCAGCTTTTTTGGATATGGACAAAATAAGAAAACTGAATCGGTTCAGGCTGAGCCATACACTGCCTTGTCACATGCCAGTGTAGTTTGCTTGCATTTTCATCTTCTCAGGAACACTGCTGGTTGAGTTAAAATAGCAGCTTTAATGTGAACCAGTTAGTTTACTACTAAAATTTTTTCCCAATCCTGCAAATATTTTCTCCCCAGTTGATGCCAGTCCTTTGATAATAGAGATTTCAGTTGGAAATACCATTTAAAACATATACAGGTGACTTATCTAACTAAATTTCAAAATGAGTATAAACTGAAGTGACTCTCTTGTTTTTTTTCCTCCCGTTTTCTTTTTGGCTGAAACTAGTTGAATTAGCAAATAGGTACTGAAAAATACAATTTTGGGTTGACCAAAACTGTTAGCCTGAAAAAATTTCCTCTCTGCTATTAAGTAACATGACACTTTTACCACATTGTTTTGGCCTGTTGTAAAATGCATAGGACATTATATATGAAATCAAACATGGCTAAAATTAACAGCTCTGGTTCAGAAACTTTGCACTTAAGAAAACAAATCTTAACCTCAATGTGCATGTTGGTGCAAATGGAGTACACTAGCAAGTAATAAGATTCTTCACACAGGTCTACCAATGCATGTCAATCTTATCCTGAGTAATAAACTTTCCTAGCATCTGCATGCATTTAATCAAAGCTTTTCATTTTCATGAAAACTGACCTCACATATTGGCATGGGAACGAAATGTGGGTTTCAGAGGATGAAATTAGCAATGAACTGACAATACCACAGAGCCATTTATTGGAAAAAAAAAATCTGTAAGTGACGGGCAAACAAGGCACAAAGAGTTCTAATGTAGCCTCAGTCTATAAATTGTCACTTATGTATGCAGGTCTTACTTGTAGCTTGTACATTGACGTGAGGAGATATCCCAAAGTTATCAACAAACCTACCTGAAACTCAGCAGATTGGAGAATAGTTACTAGCACCATACCTGAAGAAAATTAAGAAACAATCTTTTTTGTGGCTCTAGTTAGTTCAGACTTAAAAGGCAAAGTTTATCTAATTTGTATAACTGATATAAATACAGGCAGTCCCCGGGTTACATGGATCCGACTTACATCGGATCCCTACTTACAAACGGGGTGAGGCAACCCCGCACTAGCTGCTTCCCCCCAGCAGACCAGGGAGATACAAAGCTAGCGCCCCCCCCAGCAGACCAGGGAGACGCGGAGCGGCTTTTCTCAGCAGACACCTCAGCTTGAGAATAAAGGACTGAGGGAAGTGAGGTGTGGGAGAATAAAACTGAGCTCTGGAGAAATGTTTGGCTAGAGTTTCCCCTACAATATGTACCAGTTCCGACTTACATACAAATTCAACTTAAGAACAAACCTACAGTCCCTATCTTGTACGTAACCCGGGGACTGCCTGTAATATCTAACTCAAGCCTCTTTCAATGGATTTTTTAAAAATACATTTTCATTTTCATTATTGCATGGTGCAATCAGTAGTTTCTATGGGCCAAGCCTCCATATGAAAGATGAGGTTCACTACATATTTCTGGACTCTAGCTTCTGGATTGCTAGCATATTTCCCACACAACCCTTGAATGGATGAAGTTTGGGCATCTCTGCCCTCAAAGCAGTGTTCAGAGTTACAGAGGCATGAAACCAACAAATCCATTAATACCACCATCAGTACCTGGCTGTGTGTGTGTGTGTGTCTCCCCCCCTTTCCCCAGCAGTTTAAAAATTAATCCTGGACTTAAATAAGAAATAGGGAAGGGGAAGGGAGGTTTTTTTTTTTTAAATTTCATTATTATGGGTCAAATGCTGCCTCCTGCATTTCTTTTGAGCAGTAACTTACTCCACACACAGGCCTACTAACTCTACAGGGGATTATTTGCAGTGTGTGAAATACAATATCCTCTGTGACAGAATTGGGCTCATGTAAGCATGTTTGTAAATGCTTTTAAAAAATCAACTACCAGGCTTGTCTAGTAGCCTGACTGATATTGCTGAAACCACAGCTTGTTATGCTGCTACCAACCAAGCTCTGGGCCTTGTATGAGATGATAATAACCCCCCTTCAG